AATTGCGGGAGGGCCCCAGCGCAAAACTTCCGGTTGGGCCTCTCTTTTGGGGGGGGGCGAGACCTGGCTGCTGCCCTGCTTTGACGTGCACTGCGCGCTGGGGGATGCAGCACGAATGCACAAGAATGCAGCAGGAAATTTGGCAGATTTCGTGACAATGAATGTGCAAACAAGCGACGGATGAGATTGTGGTCAAGCCGCGCTCGAGAGGTAAAAAGAGAGACCGCCTCGATCGGTCTGAGGAGACCAAGAGAGGTTGAGTGAGTGGAAGGTGAAACTGTGGAGAGGGAAAAGAGGGGGAAGAAACGCGTGGGTGGGAACTTTGCTTGAAGCGAAAAATCGCAGCTGCAGTGGTTGCAGTGTTGCCGTGCCCTGGTGGTGGGTGCAGTGCTCGATACGACAAGATACGGTATAGTCTTGTGGAGTCTGGCCGGCCAGGGACCTGGCGATAGTATTTTGGGTTTGGCCTCTGCTAGGTAGGGGGCGCCTGCGTCCGTAGAGGTAGTGTAGCTGTGGAGGTAAATTACCGCGTCATCACGCAGTGGAGGCTAAGCCAGAGAGGGATGGATGTAGAGATAAACCGCAGCTAAATCCGTCAAGATAACCTCAAGTCAGGTACTTCAGTTTCAAAGGAGCGTGGTTGAGCTGGGTTCTTCGTCGTGTGTCGGGGCCCTACGAAACAAAAGGAGATGATGTCTAGCTGAGTGCCGAACCAAGCACGCTAAAAAGGATCCAATGTCCAAAGAGAATCGGCGGTCCGTCTCAGAGTCAAAACAGCTCGAATGAACAAGTGCAATTGTCGATAAAGACGGGACCAAGAGGCATGGATTGTAGTCCATGGTGGAGCAGGGGACCGGAAAAGGAAAGGATCCAGCAGTGAGAAGGGTTCAAACTTCAAAAGGGTCCGTCTGGGCTAGGTATCGCCCACCACCTCCAGGTCGACATTACAGTCCAGGGGGTTCACCATGTATTCCGATATTGCACCTCCATGTCCCTGAAACAATGAGAAGGAGACGGAAAGCAGGGCAGGTGACGGGGATGTCTGTTGCAGATTCGCCTTTACCGGCCTCGAAATCAGGAACCAGAAACACTTGGCTCACAGGCACCCCCGTGCACAGTTCCATCGCCACTGGACGCCGACTCGAAATGTATAAAGGAGCGTGTTAACATCCGCAACGGGGCATTGATGGACGGCGCCGTTGGGTGATTTCACTCGACGAGCGAATTGGCGGCCACCTGCACCCACCACCACAGGACCAACAACAAAGATAGGAGGAGGCTTCGCATTCGACAAAGCAACCCCAAAATCAAGGGGACCTAGGAACTTCTCAAGAAAGAAATCGCTTTGGTGCTTGGGGTCCTCAATTGAGGTTGCAGGGAGGGGCAACTTTCAGGCCATGTGAGAAACCGACGTCGCAGCTGGGGGGGTGTGCTGCCCCTGGGGGATGGCCTCGAAGGGGGAGACAGGCCGTCCATTGGTCAGGTAAGGTACATCGGATAACACGAGAGAGTGGGGCCGTTGATTGGGACGGCCGAACGCCCACAGACCTTCACACCAACTTCTCCAATGGACCTGCATCCCGCCAGGGCAATGAAAGTGCCCACGGCCCGCCCACGGCCCTACCTAGGTGGAGGGTGCCCGCCGATATCTATATGTGCCCGGTACAGTAGGTGTCCTCTGTAACCTCTCCCTCCAGCCCAGTCTTCTTGCCCGATCAAGACACGCCATCGGTCCTGCCCCTTCCTCGTTTGCCCTCCATTTTCACAGCCAGATCCATCCCTCCTGTGCTGAAATACTATGCTTCCGAAAGGAGACGGAGACGGTGGACAGACCCAAGCCAGCTCAGGTAATAAGACCATCACTAGCATTTCCTTGTTTTGATGTCCGCCAGATCGACATCATTCTCCATCACGACCCGAATCTCATTCCGTTTATCCGAAGTACATGTCTAACACAACTTGTACAATTCACTTTGCAGTTTCTGATAATCAGATACTCAGCACCTCTCTGTCTGAGGAAAGGAGCCGCAATCTGATCCAAATTGGCATACACATCGGTCATACACAGGCAGGTCTCCCACAAATGTTGTGCATCTCCGTCGTTGGAGACTCTTTCTCGCCAACCAATGTTCATCCTTGGCCAAAGATGAACTAGGCATCATTTCTGCTCACTATCTGCGGAGAAGTCTCGTCACACGACGATGTTCCTGCAGTGCGTTGCATCGTCCATGCTCGAAACAGGCTAGCTTGAGGGGGCTCCGTTCCTGGCTAAGCCGGCAACACAAACTGGGTTGCTTTTCCAATTCTCCTTATTTCAGCCGCCCACAGTATCTTTTGGGTTGCCTCGCTCCTCCCACCTTGTTTCTAGCCCATATCAGCGTTTTTTTCTTTTCTTTTTGTCACGGTTTTACCCTCCTTCGAATCACATCCCCATAATCTCCTCACAACGTGGTGCATCCCACCGTTCAGATCCAGCAGCCTGGAGCACGTATCGGGTAACCTTACCGGGCGCAATATGTATCACACAAGCATGACGTTTGAACTGGGCAACCCCCGTTATGCACAACAGTAAATTGCCCCAGGCGATCACGACAGCATTTTCTGCTTATGGCAGCTGCGGGATCGACAACAAATCCTCCAAGGGCGACACAAAAACGAACATGAAACCCCCTGTTGACAGTTGATATGTGTGTGTGTGTGTGTGTGTGTGTGTGTGTGTGTGTGTGTGTGTGTGTGTGTGTGTGTGTGAGACACAGCTTCTTCAATAAGGTTGAATCCTTGGATGCGGTCGGTCACTAACGTTGTAACTTGATCCTGTCTGTTCTATCCATGAGCTAAGCAGCCATGAACACGATTGATAAAGAAAAAAAGACAAAAAGACAAACTGTGTCAAAAGACCAGCGAGACAATCCAGAGCACAGTCAATATATCCCATTATTTCAGATCCTCCTAATGGGTTCGTTACCCGAACAGCGTCCAAAATCTGCTCGCCCCCTGTTCCCGCAAACCCGCCCAGCCCAGGGTCTACGGTAACAAACATGCAGACAACGATCTCCCCCAGGCCTACAGGCCACGAGCGTTCTGACATGATGATGATGATAAGATCAGAAGGCGACCAGAGCTTTCCTTACTTTACATGGGTTGCCCGATTTTCTTCTTCTCCGTTTTCTCTTCACACTTCAATCCTGGTACCTACCCTCGAGCTACTTATGTAACCAGCCCGTTGGCCCAGCCGGTAACAAGCTATTCGTGCCTGATAAGGCGTTAAGCGATTGACGATTGTCCCTGGAAAATCCCAAAGATACCTGACTTCTAGCTACCATAATGAACGTATCTGGCTAGGTAGCTTGCCCGTTCGGCTTGCAGGGATGTCTACTGCATCGTTTGGCCTGTCGTGCGTGCTTGTCTCAGTATCACAAGATTGGCTGCAATCCGCGCTCTTGGTTACACAAACAAAGCATGTGGATAATTTCTCAACGGCATTTGGGATACAATATTTGTAGACTAGATACAGTGCCTATCCCCGCCGCGATAACTGGATGGGCAGAGCTGAACTCTTGAGACATTATTGTACCTTCCGTGCCTGCAACAAATAGGTTTAAGCATTGTGAGATCAATGTATGTCTGTCACCTCCTCCGTCGGTCGAGCGGAGCAACCTGCGAGCCTCACTAGTGGATGAGTGGGCGGGCCGAGTAAGATGAAGGGCTCCGTCAACGACAAATAGAATAGTGGGAACGCAGCATGTGAAGGAGGACCCCGAATGCGTGGGCACAAGCACAAACAACGAATAACCATGCTGGATATGCAAAACTGTCATCTCAGCACTGTAAAGTCCCTATAGAAGACGGCGCCTGAAAAAAAAAAGAAGAGGTCTGAGCACTGAGATAACAAAACTGTCTGGACGTTGATGCGCAACGAGATTGCAACCGCTCCAAGGCCATTCAGATACAAGAGAAAAAATACTATAAAAGTTGAGAGAATGCCAGAAAAGGAGCACTGGAAAGATGTTGGGATTATCTCAGACCCCCAAAAAGATTGTTTTCGAAAAACTGGCAAAACGAAAAAAGAAAAAGTGTGGACAAAGAAATGCGCCAGCCGCGAATCGAACGCGGGGCCCATCGATGGCAACGATGGATTTTACCACTAAACCACTGGCGCTAGTTTCAATTGATTGATTACATTGTCAAAACTCAAAGCCTATAGCTGTACTTGCATGTGTCCTGTCAGTTGAGAGTAGAGTTGGTCAATTTGTAGAGCTGTTGCATCGACGTTTGATTCCTGACAAAGATGAAAGAAGCCTCCCTTAACAGCTTAGCCTCTAGCCTCAGTGCAATATTTAACGAAATTGAGAAGAATCTCCTCAAAGTATCTGGCAAAGGGAATATATCACCGAGTGTCTATCGAGTGCCCTTGGAGGGGGAGTGGAAGTGTAACAACGAAAAGAAACGGAGGAGCAAATGACATGCCTCTTTTTCCCCGGACAAGAGTCGGGGAACAGTTCTCTCGGATGACATAAGACTGCCCGCCAATGGCATTGTTTCCGAAGTAGCAACATCCCAATTGCCAGTTCCACATCCCCGAGTTTTGTCAAGTCTCCCGTCCCAACCAGATGTTCATGAACAGCACAAATCAAACAGCCAGTGTAGTCGAATACGCTTTGAAAAGACCACCACAAATGAACAGCCACGTATTGGAATAAAGAGGCTACAAACCAAAGCTTTACACAATTATCTCTTTACCTTCCTTGTTCATGTCCTCGGCAGTTTACCGAGAGAACAAGGGACCTAAGAGCCAGACAAGAAGACATGAACAACGGGATTGTTAATACTTGGTATTTGAAAGTCCAAGAGACAAGATGCATACATATATTCCGGTCTGGAACCCCTGAACCAAACTCCCATTCAGTATGTCAGTAACCCATTGTTAAATTATCACCAGCAAACCGCAACTCGAGTAACTCTTCAAAACATACCTAATACCGACCCAACCACCGCCCACCATGCCCACCATAAGCACCGAAGCCAACCTCGACCTCCTCCACTCTATCTACAATGTCCCCTCCTTCTCGCTAATCCTCCGCCACTTCCGTGACACCTGTCCTCGCTCCACTTACGTCTGTCATGCTTGTCGAAGTGTCATCCTCCACAAGATGGTCCTCGGCGCCTCCCATCCTTCCCTGTGCAACAAGCTGGGCCTCACCCCCTTATTCAAAATTCTACAAGAAGAAGGACTAACCGCCTCCAGCAACTATGGCCTCGACAAGTCTGATCGCAGGGTACCCAAGCCCGAAGCCATTGATTACATGACAGCACTTGGCTCACCAGAAGTATGGCATGAGGTGTTGACCTCTGGATGGGGGGGTTTTTTGGTCAACTATCTTGTCGTCCAAAAAGGTCCGGGATACTCAACTGAAGAGCTGGAGGACATGGGAAAGAAAGAGCTAGGCAGTCTGATGAGCAAGCTCATCTTTCTCTGCAGCGGAACGTACACCGTCCTGGACCTGTTCCACAACCGCAGATTTGACCAGTTTGCCGAGTGGACAGCTGAATTACTGGCAAACCTTGAGTGCCCAACCGGTGCGTGCAAGGCATTGCAGTGGCAGGAGTTGGCGGGTAGGAACCGGCACGGGGTGTCGGGATCCGTCAAGTCGCTGGACGGCGAGGATGCCATTGTTTTTGCGAAAATCGTCTTGTTTTCGGTCAGATCGCTGTTGGACCCTCAAATTCGTAATGTTATCGACAAACACCCCGGTCTGGTACCGCATCTCGAGAAGGACTTTGATCCGAGAGTGGTGATGCCATCGGCGGCGAGGAGGTACGCATGGAGGCCTCAACGACTCGTTGAGATGACCGTTAGAGATGCTAGTGGATTATTCGATGAGGCCAGGGAGAAGGGGTACTTTGACATTTTGATCGAGGAGGGTAGGGAGAGATGGAGAGCGGCGAAGAATTTGGCGAAGAAGGAAGAAGAGGAGGAGGCTTACGAACCCTACTACTAGTAGGTGGACCTCTTCTCTCACATGGCTTTTTCCACACAGTGTTTCTTTGTATCATATTTTGGTTTCGGCTTGCAATTTCTGGTTTCTTGATTTTGAGTCCAAGTTTCTTTGATGGTAGAGGTAAGTGCGAGAAACCACCATTTGGAGGGTTCGCTTCCATGTCGGGAGTTGTCGATAGGTAGAGGTAGTGATAATACTATAAGTCACCTGGAGAAACTATGATGCGTTTGAAGGATTTTTGAGTGCAAATATGTGAATCAATCAACGATGAAGTGTGATGCACTGCAATCACGGGTGGATGGACGGTAGGTAAACTCCCAATTAAAAAATACTGCCCCCCCCCTCCAATGTCTAATGCAAAGCATTTATTACCAACCTTCTAAAGTGCATTCTGCCACCAAAACCAGATATTTTTCAATGGTTCTTATTGCAAATGAAAGGTGAAAGCTACATCTAGTACTTGGTATACTAGTTTCTTACTTTTCCAATAGCTTTGAGGAATTTAGCTACTAAGTTATCAGAGCTGTAAATGAAGCCTCCAGAAATGTAGTTCCAACTAAATAATAAATAACTCTCTAATCTATTATCTATACTTCTTCATCTTTATTATAAGTAAACCTTTTAAGCCTCTTCTTTCAATATATTCTTTATTCCATTCTGAAAGCTCGTGGTGGTGTTGCGAGTTAAGGATGCTGAAGATGCATTATGCATTTGATGTTTTTGCTAAGAAAAACCGATGTTTTCTAGTAATGTAACTAAAATTTTCAAGGTGAATAAATCCTTAGATAAGCCTCTCTCTTAATATTTAATAGTATAAAGATATTAGAGTATATATACTTCTTCCTTCCATCCTTTTTTAGAAGATTTATTCAAGGTTTAGTAATTCTAAACATCATTTGCATTTTAAGTTGCAATCTTAGTATTTCGTTGAATTTTACTTTTTCAAAACTCCTTAATTCTAAGTGTAATTGTAATTACGTTTTTCTCTTTAGGTTTATTTCTTCTGATGCGTAAGCACAGCATAGCATAGAGTACAGAATAATAATAAATTAATTAATCTAAGTCTCTACCTCTATTAACGCTCCAATCGTCAAGGCTATATATACTCAACGAACGAAGGGTTGAGGCTTCCCTAGAAGGGGCGCCGTTGCTTGCCCAGAGGGGGCGCCGTTACTTCCTTCTATAGTCAACCAGGGTACTCACGGGGAAACCCTATATCAATACCCCCCTTCGATAAAATATTATAACGTCCTCGTCGTATGCTATGGTACATGTGTACGTCTGCTTTAACGTCTAAGGATAGCCTGCCAATTTACTCTTCTTAAATCCTCCGGCTCCTTCGTCTATATAAATATTTCTCTAATAATAAAAATAAAAATATATCAACCCGTTTTTAATCTTTAGAATTTTCTTCCTTTAATATCGATCTATTTCTCCTTTGCTATTAAGTTTGCTATTATATAATTATCAATGAAATTATTCGGGTTTAATTCCTTCTTCTATTTTTTAATTTCTTTCTCCTCTGCGTTTTTCTCCTTTAAGACTATTATAAACTCCTTGTATTTCTCTATTAACTTAGTATATCTAGCTTTCAAATTATTGTACTCCTTGTATTCGCTTGGTAAGTCTTTATATTTTTTCTTCTAAATATTAACTATTTTGTTTTTTTCTTTTTCCGTTTTTTTTAATGTCTGTAATTATGCGTTTAACTTTACTGATTGTAGTGAAATTTTCGTTAGGGTTAATAGGTACCGGCTTGGATTTAGAAGTAAAGTTAAATTCCCTAATCTATACTTCTACGGATTTTAAATCCGAGTTTCTGATTTTTATTCTATTATTATTTAATCCGGCTTTAATATAGGCGTTGGAGTTAATGGAACTGGTAGGTATAATATAGTTGATAGGTATAAAGAGGTTAATTGGTTTGAAGGAATTGATAAGTATTATAGGTATAGTTAGTTTAATAGGTATGGCCGCTTTAGTAAGGTAAATAGTAGGGATAATAATCTTAGGAATTTAGGATTAATACGGGGTAGTCTTTGCTATTATATTTTAATATTAAATAAATTTTAGTCCTTTAGTATATTATTCCTTATTAATATAAAGTGCGCTAATTGAAATGTTAACCCTTTTATATTTACTATAATTAAATAAGGTCTTTAAGATAAGGATTTTCATTTTTTAAATAAAGTTTTAAGGGGGGAATATATATTTTTAACACTATTTTAATTTATAGAACTGAATTTTGGTTATTCTAATAAATTTAGGAGGAGATTCGCCTATAATATAATTTTATAAATTCCAAATTTGTACAACCGGCTCTTAGGAATTCGGAATAATACTATTAAAGTCGATATTAAAGTTAACCGCCTTCTTCCTATTAATATGTACTGACTAATTTCTAAAAATAACTATAGTTGCCTAAATGTTGGGTTTTAAGATATATGGGATTTTAATATTTGTTGGAAGCGTACCTTTATTAGTAAATTTAATTTTAGTAAATTGTTCAAAGAATAAATTAAATTTTTTTATAATAGCGTATTCGCTTACCCTACTTATTTCTATTTTTTATTCTTGGCTGAAGGTTGTAATAATAGTTTTAATATTTTAATAGGCGGAGAATTTTCTATAATCTTTAGTAAATATTTTAATTATATTAATTTCAATACTTATTTAATATTCGGGTATATTAATGCGCTTTATAGAGGTGAATTTATTGTAAGGCTTAGTTTTAGAGGTTTTAGAAGTTGTAGTCTTTAAGATTTTCGAGGTTTTTGTGGGGGTTATAGTATTTTTAATAGGTTTAGGAGGTATTTTAATTAATTATTGTAGTGTAGTTTTTCTTTTAATTTTAATTATTCTTTAAATAATATTACGGTAGTCTTCGGTAATAACCCTTACTATATAATTAATAAAGTCTTTGTAAAGTAATAATAGTATAGGGCGTCTTTAAATTTAATTCGATAAAGGGATTAGCGAAAGATTGCAGGTAGCATTGGAAGTAAGGTTATAGAAGGTAAAATAATATTATTAAGGTTACGAAAGGGTTTTCGAAAATAAGAGTACGGAAGAAAATAGTATAGAAGAAGTTATTTAGTAGCGCTACAATTCGTATAAGAATATTATAAAATATAAAATAAATTTGCGAAGAATTAGTTATAATTTATTGAGTAAATTGTAGAAATATAGGGTTAAATGATAAGTATTAGTGTAGCCGTATATAAATGCGAAGGATAAAATAGAATTTAATTAAGCTTAGTATAAAAGTAGTTTTATTTCGAAATTAAACGTAGGGATTTCTCTAATTTCTTTTCCCTATTCTTCCTTTAGTTTTTCCTCCGCCGCTGAAGCCTTCTTTCCCTTCTTTAATTTTTTAGGTTTAAATTCTTTATTATTGACTAGGTATTTAGTATTGTAATTATAAATAAGATCCGATGTATTTTAAAGAAGGGTCGATCATAGGATGTACGAGTTTTATTAATTCTAGTATCCTTTCTATTTAATTAAATATTTTAAGATTGGGCGGCTATGTTTAAAATTAGTGTATTTACTGAGGATTTTATCGATTTTATACTATTCGTCCTCGTTCGTATATTTTTTAACTACTTTCTTAGGATTAAAGTAATAATAGCCGAACAGGTCTTCGTTTACCAGTACTAATACCAATTAAGTAATAAAGACCGTTCAATAATTCTTCTACGTTTTTAGGAAATTAATTTCTATAACTAATAGTCCTTTCCTCCTAGTAACTTTAAACGGTCCAACCTTCTACTATAACTACTTTCTTAAGAGCTTTCTTAGTAAATAATAGCTGTAATATAAATATAGATATACTTAATCCCCTACCTTAAAATTAGTTAGAGTAGTTTTTCTATTATATTTTATCTTAGTAATAGCTATTGTATAGGTAATTATAATTTCCGCCTTAAAATAATTTGATAATTAAATTGCTTCTATATTAAAATTAGTTCTTAAAGTTAAATACTATATTTAAAGGGTTATAGGGCTTGAATTTTATTAATAGTTCGATTAGTAATCTGCTAATAGCGTTTGTGTAGGTTATATTGAGGTTGAATTAAAGCGTAGGTAGTATGTCTATCCAAGGAATTTTACTAACGGCGATATAGTATTTAATTACGATTTTAATAGTTTGATTTTTCTTTTCAAATAAGCTGTTGGTTTGAGTGTAGAATGTTGTGGATATTAAAAATTTAGTTCCTATAGCCCTAAATATTCTTCGTTAAAAGTTAGATGTAAATTTGAGGTTTCTATCAGAGATAATAACGGAGGGTAGGCCCTAATTATATAGTAATAAATAGGTAGTTAAAATTTCCCCCTATTTTATTACTATCTAAGTTATTTAACCTAGGATATATAACGTACATTTATTATACTTATTACTATAGGTTATAAGTATATTAAAGCCCCCTTCTAGTATTTTAAATATTTTGCTTTCGAGATATATAGGTAGTATAATAACAAAATCGATTGTAATTGTATGCCCGGGGATAGGTAGTATATTAATAGGATTTAATTTACTAAAGAGTTTCTTTCTTAATATAATATTCTCTAAACATTCTAAATAGTATTTAATATATTCCATAACCTTATTAGTTATTTTTATAAATAAATAAGATACTAGGTCCTTAATTATCCTATTAATATCAAAATAACACTTTGAATTGTAGACTATCTCTAATATATTTTTAACGCATTTATCTAATATATATAACCGCTATTAATACTTCGATATTCTATAGAATAATAAGTCGTCTTAGCTATTAAAAAGTATCCCCTTAATTATTAATAGCTTAGTTAAGTCTAGTTCGTATAGTGCCCTCCTATCCTTAATAAATTAAATAATTTTAGCATATTTAGTATTAGCTTTATATTCGTCTATAATTTTCTATTTGAATTTTAGGTCCATCTCAACGATAGTAGCTGTAAAGCCTTCTTCCGACAAATTATTAAACTTACTCCTCGAAGGGTCTCCCTTCTTCTTATTATTATTTAAGGTTGGGAAGCGAAATAATACGTCGGGCACAAAATTCATTTTACCGGGAATATAACGAATATTAAACTTAAATTAAACTAGTATAATTGATGCGAATATCAAGTAGGGATTAAATTTCGCAATATTAGTAGTTTTAAGAGACGTTTGCCTAATAATACTTAGGGTAGCTATTATAGGGCATTCTTAGTGGATACTTATATACTCTGTCTTGTTATGGCAGCTGCTTACTAGAGCGTATAGTCCATTATATAAGAGTGTTCGTCCTATCAACCTCTATTAAGATTAACGGATTATTAATTAATATTATACTAACCTAACGTTTATTTTATTTATATTTAGTAAAGTCGTATACGAGGTCCTAAATTGAAGCTTGTAATAGTTCTTATTTTTAATTTTCTTCAATAAGACTATCGTTAATCGTTATATACTATTACTCTATCTAACAACCAATTATTTACTATATTATTCTCTATTATTATTATTTGTAAAGTATATTTTCGCATAATAAGTAGTGCCTATAATTCAGTTTTAAACCGACCTTATTATTTCTATTATCTCTTCCTTTTATTGAGGGGAGAGATATGTTAGGTCTAGTAATAATTTATTGGATTTATTAATTATTATTTAATTTTTACCCTTTTAGACTAAATACTTATATATTTACTCCTTAGAGTCCTCTTTCTTTACTACTTTATTATTATTCAATTAGGTTCTAAGGTTAAATTGAATAATATTAAAGATTAATAAGGTAAACCTCCGGATAGCTTTCGAACTTTAGAACGAAAATTTAATATATAAAGTATATTAGATTATTAAACTTACTACACTTGAGCCGTAGTTTTATTATAAGTAAAGACTCTAGTAGTTAGTCTTTAAATTGCTTATTAAAGTCACCTAATTATATTTAAATAAAGAAATAGGTCTTATTGAAATTAAACCCAATTAGTCCGCTAATACTAATAATAATATTTATAATAAGGGATAGATTATTAATTTAAACGTAATAGACTACGAAGTTTAATAAATTTTATATAAATATTATTAATTTATTGCTAATTACCCCCTTCCAATATACTAAATTTAGCCGTTTTTTACTAAAGAAGGCGTATTACTATAGTTCCGGAAGAAGAATTAGAAATAATTTATAGCCCAAATTAAGGAGAATAATATAATTATTAATACTACTATTTAGGTACTAATTCCTCCTAGTACTAGTAATACCGCCGCTTTGGTAATTATTAGCGTTTACTCTTCGCTAGCCAATTTTCTAGATATAATTAAGATAATTAATATATTAAATTACGTTGACCTAATATAAATTTCTATACTACTTTCCTTACTACTTATTCTTATTAAATAGTACGTTTAGTTAAATTTAATTCAATAACCCTTTTCGCTTATTGAATTAATAGTTTTATGAGCGAATTTAATTATCAAAATTACTATTAGTATTACTTAATAATTAATTACTAATCTGGCTATTAAATATTTTAGAAATTTTATATAAGTTAAAATTTTCTTATGCTTTATATAGAAATAGTAATAGGAGTAGGTAAAATAATATTCGAAAATTATTGTTGTTAATAATTTCTCGGCCTATTTTATTAATTAAAATTAAAATATTATACGCTTTATTTAATATAATGCGAAGCCCAGAGGTAGATCTCCGAATTCTTTACTTTATTTCATATAACCTATTTAAAACGCTGTACGTTTAGTTTAAAATAGTGTAAAGCCCGGTTTTGGTTTCTCGGCCCTTATTACTATAAAATATATTATTTTTTAACCTTACGAAAATCCTACAATTAATTGTAATTAGCGCTCTAGTAGTTTTATTAATCCTATTAGTAGAATAGTTATAATTACTATTAAAGACCCTTATAATACTACTAATTTAATTAATTAAATAAAAAATCTTTGGATTAACTGTATTAACCAATAACCCTTATTTAATAATATTAATTAGCTTCCTACTTATTTTTACAACTATATATTACTTCTAATTATTAATTATTAAATATTTAATTAAACTATACAAATAAACCCTAAAGGTTTAATAGATTGGACTCTAGCTATTAAAAGAGAAATCGAATAGTAGGAATATTAAACCTATTAATAGGGGATATTTCTAGTTATATCGAATAACGGCGGTTACCTTCCTTTTACTATTCTAAAAGTCCCTACCTCTTTAGTATATTTAATTTTCTGCTAAAATATTTATCCTACCAATAATTTGCAATTTATCCACTTTAATATTAGTTTTAATACTTTTAACTTATTAATTGAAATTAATAGTAATAGTATAATAATAAATAATTCGGTACTTTACAAAATATTTAAAGATTTATATAATCGTATTAAAGAATTAGAAGATTGAAATTAGATTTTTATTAATTTTATTTCTAAAACTAATATAGAATACTGCCTATTTATTAAGGAAGAATTATTTAAAGTTTTCAATATTAGAATATATTTCCTTAATATAAAACCGGATAAGAAGAAGAAAGTATATATTAAAATAGTAAAATTAATGTTTCTATAGCTTTTTATAGGTTTGAAAATACAATTAAGGAGTATTTAAAGGATTATTCGGAAAGACGTTAGATTATTGCTAATAATTTTAATCAATTGTTTCGAAGTGCGGCGCTATATTAGTAAAGTTTCTTTCTTTCCGAGGATAAATATAATAATTTTCGTAGTAATTTTAATAGAATTCTTAATACGCTTAGTTCTATCTTTAGAATTAAGCCTTATAATACTTAAAAATAATTAAATACCAATAAATTTACTATAGAATTATATAAATGTAACGAATTATTGTTGTACGATTATTTAACTATATTATTTAAATATATTTGCTTTTAGGGAGACGTTTATAACTTATAATTATATATTCGTTTATAGAATAGTTTATACCTTATAATATAAATTATATACGTTCCCCCTAAATAAAATATTCGTTTTAGCAATTATATTAATAGGGTTAAATAAAAGGCTTTACTTATACGCTAATAGTTTTTTAAAGTATTGAAAACTAGTTAATTAATTTATTATATAGTTAATAACTCTAATAACGAAAACAATATTTTTAATATTTATATTAACTTTTAGGGAAATTATAATAGTAATAAACCTTTTGTGAAAAACCTTTATCTTATAATTACGGGTTCGATAGTAAATTGGGCGGAAAGTTTTATTTTAATAAAAGATTCCGGAACTTTAGTAATAAGTTTAATAAGTGTAATATTAATGGGTCGGGTAATAATAATAACTACTAGCGTTATTAGGATAAAAAGTTTGAACGCTATTGAATTTTATAGGACGGCTATTATATTTATACCTCTACTATAATAGTTTCTATAGACGATTCTAATATAAATAATAAGGTTTACTATTTATAGAATAAGGGTTATTATTTTATTAGTAATTTCGAAAAAGAGGTAGAAGAGTTTACGGTAAATATTTTTAAAATTAAATATAATAATAAACCTTCTACTTATTTCATTAGCTACTTAACCCTTATTAAACCTTTGCTTCTTAGTATTTTTATTATTCTATATTTTTTTATATATAATAAATAATAAACTAGCGGTTTTTTTTTAATACGGTTCTTATTAGAAGTACCGATTCTAATAGGCCTATATAGCCTCTATTATTAAATTTATTATCTAATACTAATTCTATAGCGATTTTTAAACACTTAGAGAAGGCTTAAGAATTTTGTAGGTCGTCCGATCCTTCGTTTGATAATCAAATAACCTTTACTGAAAGTAATTAAAAGCTATTTAGTTGGGTCGGAATATTAAGGAAAATAACAATCTAAATAAATTTATTAATATTCGTAGATAGATAGTAGCCTAATTTATTCGAAGTTTAGTATAAAAATTAATATATACTATTTACTTTTACTAAAGGATAAATTATTAAAGTAATTCCGGATATTACTCTTAGGAATAGAGAAATAAATTTATGAAAAGTTATATTATATTTATAGGTCGATAATAAATTTAGCCCTAATATACTCATTATTACCGTATATTTTAATTTAGGATATTTATTAACGGTAGTAAGTAAAGTATTTATTAAGTAGTTTTTACTAAATATAAGATATATAGTAATACTACTTAATACTATAAAGGGTATTAATTCGAAGATTATTATCGATACGGTCGCTGAATTTAATTATTATATAGAAGGAAAGGTTAATAGAATTAAAGTTAATAAATATTTCTAAATATTTGCTTTAATTATTAATGAATTGGGCCCGAATATATTATTAGGAATAAACTTCCTTTGTTACTATAGTACGAAATTGGAGTTTAATACTATATTATATTCCTTTAAATCGGTTCTTAGTATAAAAGTCTAGGGCGAAGTCTTTTCTAAAAGAGAAGAAGGGGGGAAGGACATTTTAATTGCTAAGGTTTTTACTAAATATGATACTCTATTACTAGGGGGTTAATTAAGAATTATCTTAATAAAATATAGTACCCAATTTAATAATTAATATAGCTTAGGTAAATATCCTACTTATAACTTTTATATGTAATACTTTTAATTACTAAATATTATAGTAAATAATAAGACCCGTAAGGTTATATTATATTTTAATTAATTCGAAGAATTAGTATTTATATTTGGAGAAATACGGGTAGGTATAATTATATAATTACTATTTAAGGTTAGCGAAATAATTATATTAATTAACGCTTCGGACGTAGTTTTTTTTATCTTTAAGATCCAAGCCGGACTTACCTAAAAATAATACGCTATATTTATTAATAGGGCCGTAGAGGACGAAAAGGAAGCGGCTATTAAAAAGAGCGCCTTTAAAGTACCTTCCTATGAAGTTACTAAGCCTATCGATATTGAAACTATTTTTTCTAAAGTAAGTATTAGTATTTATAATATTGATTCTGATTTTTCGGAGTAAATTAAGAGCCTCCTAAATAAGTACGTTAACGTTTTTAGAAATAAAGGGATTATACTAATAAAGAAAGAAGATAAAATACATATTAATTTAGTTAAAGAATAGTAAAATTAGCGAAGAATTATTAAACTTTACCCTTTAGGAATTAAAGACTGCAAATTCCTTGATAAAGAATATAATAAAATATACATTTAAAGTGAAATATTATTTATATTTTAACTAATTCCTATTATTTGCCTAGTATTTATTATTTAGAGAAAGGTTAATAGAATCAATAAAGGATGTATAATAATTAATCTTTACTTATTTAATAGTATTATTATATTAGATATATATCCTTTGTCCGACTAAAAAGATATTATTAATATAATAGTCGGTAAGAAGTTCTTTTCGATTTTCAACATAGTAAGATTTTTCTACTAATTACCTATTTTTATTAAGTATTATAATTATATAGTAGTTATTAGTCTTTGAGGTTTTAAGTAGTTTAATATTGTATTAATAGGCTTTATAAAGGATCTACGAGGTATACACGCAGGTGAGCCTTAAAAAGAGTTTAAAATAATTAACAAAGAAGATAAGGGAAGTCTGTGCTAGTAAGGCACAGAGCTTCCAGCTAAATACACAAAAAGCGTAGTCATCGAAGGTACTAGAAATACTAAGGCTAGAAATATAGCCTGTACGCCGCACCTGAGGGATATACCTAATAATACATAGTACATCCGGTGCTAAAACGGCTACCGACAGCCGACCAGCCCGTACACCCAATTAGAAGGTACGCTTAGTTTATATACTAAGTAAATAAAACCCCTAGGTGCTAGCCCTGTAATATTATTTCCTACCTCTCCTTTCGAAAAATAGTTAGAAATACTATATATAAGAAACCTAAATACTTTGATACCCTAGTACTTTCGAGTACTCCCAATGCCTTACTACCCGGGTTTTTATAAGAGAAAACGATTAAATAAATAATTAAGAGTAGAATAAAGTATATCTCCCTAAGAAAGTCCTATTAATTACTTTAATACATATTATTTATATATACGTTAGTACCAACTATACCCCTAGGCTATATAGTAACTATTATATTAAGTATTTTCTTAATACCCTATAACGCTTAATTCTATTTATTTATAAAGACTATCATCCTACTTTAGCCTATACATTATAACCGCTATTACCCTATAGTAATATTTAATATATATACTTTTAGTAAGATTTACTATTATTTAACGTATAAATAGGGTATACGTAGCCTTCCCAAATATTTTTAGACCCTACTAGTACTAATAGAGCTCTAGAATTTACCCTTCGGGTTATACTAGGCTAATATCTATATCTTAATACTTATCGCTATTATTATTAATTTTATTATTTTCCTCTAGGCCCCCTTCCGATTCTAAAATAACCTAGATATACCGAATCTAGACCTTCTACTTATAATCCTTAATTTAATAGGAAAGCGAACCGTAAATTGTATAAATACTTTTCTTCTTCTACTTCTTCTATTAAATATCTAATAAACTACTAATCCGGATAGTAATAATATTTATTGATTCTCTTTTATTAATAATAGCGGTATTAGAATACCCTATACTCGTCTTAAGAAAATTATTACTATTAAGGTACTAAAGGAAATTATAAAGCTCTGGGTAGTTATTTAATACTTCCGGCCGTGTATAGAGGCGCCCGAATTATTCGTTGTTCAAAGAAGATATTAATAAATTAATAATAGCCTAATTTAACTACGTATTAGCTTTAGTTCGGTATAAAACTTCTTTGAAGTGGATAAGGAAATAGGATATAGATTTTCAAAACTTCTATTATAAAGTAAAGAATTTAAAACTAACTTTTTTATTTTAATTAACTTCTTTATAACTAACTTAGAGCTTTTCGAAAAGCCCGGCCGGTATCTAATTAGTTAGAGCCTAAGCGAAGGAAAATAAAGTCCGGCGGATAGTAAATAAAAAGTTAGAATAGAAGTAATAGAATTAGGCTTTTAAATTGCTAATAGTATAATTATTAATATAAAATTTAATTCTAGCTGTATAAATCTATAAATCCAATTCCTTCTTATTATTAATATATTTATTAAGGTATAGGAGGGCGGGCTTCGGCTAGCCGGAGCCTTCGGCGGCGGTACTAGAACTTCCGGCAAATATTTTTAAAGTAGTTAATTCGTTAATGAGAATTTGGATGGTAACGGTAAATTACTATTAGCGCTCGCTAGCGTTCTAAGCCTAAAGAATCGAAGTTATTGTGTAGTATAATAAGGTAAGGAGAAAAAAAAGGCTAATTGACGGCTAGAGTATTCTTCGGGCAGTTAAGGCAAACGGTAAAAATCCGGACTATTGTAAATGCAATATTAAAGCTAGAAAATTATAGAGAAATTAGAGTATTATGAAGAGGGTGAATTATAATATAAAGGATCTACGAGGTATATACGTAGGTAGGCTTTAAAAAGAGTTTAAAATAATTAATAAAGAGGAAAAGGGAAGTTTATACTAGTAAGGTACAGAGTTTCTAGCTAAATATATAAAAAGTATAGTTATTGAAGGTGTTAGAAATATTAAGGCTAGAAATGTAGCCCGTGCGCCGCACCCGAGGGATATACCCAATAGTACGCAGTATATCCGGCGCTAAGACGGCTACCGATAGCCGACCAGCCCGTACACCCAACTAGAGGGTACGCCTAGCTTACACGCTAGGCAAACAATACCCCTGGGCGCTAGTCCTATAATAGGCTTTAAGAACTTTTTAGCCTTCGTATAAAGATTTATAAATAGGCTGTTCTTTGAGTATTATTCATTTGTACGTACTTATATTAATAATAATATTATTTTTGATAATATTTAAGAGGAATATTTAGTATATTTGGCTATCGTTATAGGTCTTTTTAATAAATATTATATTTATATTAGTATGAATAAGTCTTTCGCGGGGTATCCTTCTATATAATTATTGGGTAGTATTGTCGATAAAGAAGGTTGAAAACGTATAGAAGATTGTATGAAAGCCTTTTAGAAGCTAACCTTCTCCAATACATTTAATAGTTTCAAAATTTATTTTAGTATAGTTAGTTAGTTATATTAAAGTATATTATAGTTTGCTATTAAGGAAGAACTATATAATCGAAGCAAAACGGAATTATTATAATAAGCGTACAAATTGGGTAATTTATAAATAGGTTCAATAAAATAAGTAAAATAAATATATACGTCGAAGGTTAAATTCGAACCGACCCTTAAGAAGTGTAAAGCTTTTTATATTATATAGGAAAACTCATATAATTAAGCCTACTTTTTCTACTATATAAAGAGCGAGGCGTTATTTATTAAAATAAATATAAGCGGTTCAGTTTACGGGGTTTATATCTTCTAATTAAACTACTTATAGGACGTAGATTCTATTTCTAGAATAAGTAAAATCCTAGCAATTATAATTAGATTAATATATTTTCTATTAAGATTAACGTTCCCCGCCGAAAAGAAATACAATTCTACGGAAGTAGAAATTACGGTTATTATTTAGGCTTTGTGAAAACTTCGAAAAATAGTTTAATTTAACGAATATTAGGTTAATGTTATTACCGACTATATTTCTATTATTAGAATTATTAAATATACCTCGCTATTTACAATAGATTTAACTAAAATTAATTTGAAGTTTGTAAATATAATTAATTAAATATTCTAATTCAATTTAAATATATTTTATATTCTTAGACCATTAAATATTATCCCAAATACCTTATTAAAATTACTAATTACCGAGTAAGTTAATAAGAATAATACCTTAAATAAATTAGCCGATATTTAGTTTAATTTTACGTAAATAGAAGACGTTAGCTACTAGAATAATTTTAACGCCTTTTCTCTTAGATATACAGAAGTTGTCCTAAATATATATTAAGTATTGCCGATTATCACTCCGGAATTTTGCTAATAATTAATCGAAACTTATCCCAAGGACCCTAAATAGGCTAGGGTACTCCGTCTAATTGATAAGGTTGATACTCTAAAGTATATTTATATATAATAATTAGGAAAGCGTTTAAATCTATTAGTAGGCCCCTATTTATTTAAAGATAAGTTATTTTACTATATTAATTATTAAAACGTACATTGGTTATACATTCTTCGAATTTATATATAGAAAATATTAGAATTAATATATAATAAGAAGTACTACTTTAGAATTAACCGAATAATAAATAATTTATTAACTTTTATAAAGAATAAAAACCTTAAATAGTATACAAATAAGTTTAATATTACAAAACTTATTATTAGAATTAACGGGATCAACAACCAATCTTTGGAGAATTATTACCAATTCGGACGTTCCCGAGGCTATTCTATATAATAACTATAAATTTTATTTCCAATATATCGGTAATTAAAGTAACCAGTGTAATATAAATTCTAAAGAGGTTATTAGAATTTAATATAATATATACTATTACTTATAAATTTAGTAAGAAAGTCCTATTAATAGCTAATTATTCTACCTACAGCGTATAAGAATAGGCTAAGGTATTGCTTCGAATTTTACGGCTCTACGATTAAGGTTTACCGGTAGTAATTATTAGTAATTGGGATCCTAAATTTATTTTAATAATTTGGAGGAGCATTTTCGAAGCGTTAGCTATTAATTTATTGTTTTTGACGGTATACTATATTTAAATTAATAGATAGTCGGAGAGAATTAATTAAATTATTAAAATAACTATTCGTATATAGTATATAATAAATATTATTCTTTAAACATTAATATTAGTAGTATTATAATACAATTTAAAGAATACTATTTAGTTTATAATTAGGCTATTACTAAATAAGTTAGTATATAGCTTTAAATTATAGGCCGCTTTTAATTTATTTATATTAGACGATTAAAAAGCTACTATTGTAGAATCTTTAGTTCTTATCTATTAAAAATATTAATTTATAGCTATAAAATTTATAAATTAGGCTAGAATAATTATTAAAGAGTATTATAATTCTAAGTATTTTCCAATAACGTTTAAAATAAATAATGAAACTTATTTACATTTAGGGAAAGGTTATTATTTACTTAGAAGCCTAAAGAAGAAGTGGTTAGTAGAATAAATAGGTCCCTACTCTGTTTTCAAAAGAGTAGGCCCGTTAGCCTATAAATTTAATTTACCCGGAATTCAACGCACTTATTCTATTATATCCATAGTATATCTTTACAAACTAGTACAAAGCCTGGATCCGTTTAATCGTAAAATTCTACTACTACTACTGGTTAAAGTAAACGGGTAGGAGGAATAGAAAGTTGAAAATTTCATTATTAGAAGTTAAAGTCCGTTAAATATATAGTATTTAATTAAATAAACCGGATATTAAAATAAGGATAATATTTAGGAGTTATATAGTAAATTTATAAGGAATTCGAAGGAAATAGTAGAAGAATTCAACGTAGAGTACCTATTAGAATTACTATTCTATAGTGATTATAGAAGGGTAATTTAGTACGTTAGAGGAGCTCCTAATTGTTTAAAGCGTTGGAATTAATAGAGAGGGTAATAACTTTTTCGCTAAAAAAGGGGGAGGTTATTAGAAACTATAAAGGTTTAAGAATCTTTCCTTTATTTTGAATTTTATTTATTATTTCCTTATTATATATCTCTATAAACGGTTATATTTTTTATATTTTCTATAAGGATTTCTAGAATTATACTTAAAAATGTATTTAAGCAAGGTAAGCCTATTAGTAATAGTATATAGGATAATATACAATATACTATTTACAATTTTAATTAGAACCCTTTCTATTTTAATTGGGTAGGTACGTACAGTTATATAAAGGTAGCGGCATTTATAGTTATATATAGTAAATAGTTCCAGTAGGTAGGTATTAGTAAAGAAAGAGTTTTAATACGTATATATATAACTTTTAAAAGAATTAAAAATATTTAGCTACTCTTAAACTCTCCTT